CTCCTGCCTGGTTGGCCGGGAAACGCAACGCAGGTCCCTCCCTCGGCACCCAGCCCGGGTGGGGGGGGGGGTAGAGGGGGATTATGGGACTTGAAGTCCCCAAAGTCTTAAAAAAAGTTGCCAAGGTTGGACATCCCCTGACCTTTAAGGCACGGCCAACAATTCTGCTTCTGCAAACCTGCCCACCCCCCAATTAATCCGACTAAATTCGAAATCCCAATCCGTAGGAAATGTCGGCGTTTTCACCAAGGCATGATTTTTTTTAAGTTTTTCAGCAAGGTTCAACTTTATCCACCAGCCCGGCTCCGAATGTTTGCATTTCTTTTTGTCGTTCGCCGAGAGGGGAAAGAACCCCAAGTTTTGAGCCGAGAGGATGAGATTTGCAACGGAGCTGTACAATTTTAAATAGCTGCTAATGCAATCTGGGCTGAAGAATGGATCTTTTTTTTTTAAATTTCCTGGAGCTTTATTATATATATATATATATATAAAATATATATATATATTTTCCTGGTCTCGGACAAAAATCGAACCCCTTGTATGTTGATTTTTCAAATAAAAGAGCTATATTTATCGAGTTGCTTGGCCACTGGTCTTTCTTCTTGTGGTTGGATTTGCCTCCTTGCTGGATTAGGAGATTTCCGATCCCTTCGAGAAAGGTTTCTTCCCTTTGGGGCCGATTGCACATATTTTCACGCCACACACATCATTGTGCAGAAATCTCCTCTTAATTCCACACCTCTATTCTACCATGTCTCTTCTGCGTTTCCATATTTGGCGTCCTTCCTTTCTCACCATCACACAATCCTAGGGTGTGTGTGTGACATAATTCGATTCCAAAGAACGTTTTCTGCCTTTAAAACTTCCTTTCTCTTTATAATCCCCAGACATTTTTCTCAGTTCCCCACCCTGCACCTAATCTCTGGAAAATCCACTTTATCCTTGCCGCAAATATTTTGTTTTTATCCGCCGGTCAGTATTTCTTGCTCGCAGGTGGCTTTTTTCGCTCACCGCCTCCCTTTGCGGCGTCTGGCCGATCCTCGCGGAGATCACAAGATAAGCATTAAATCCCCATTTTTCCACCCGATTTCTCGGCGGTCCTTTTATCCGTGGGTGCTCCTCAGAGCAAAATTGCGGATGTAAAATTTGCAGAAAACAGCTTGTTGAGCTGAGCACCCAGCCCAAGATCCCAAAAGAAGAGCGCCCCTTTTTGCACCATGGAGATGTTTTTCATTCAGAAAATAAGATTTTTTTTTTTTAAAGAGTTGGCATTCGTATCCAGAGCAAACACCATCTACAATTTGACTTGGTGCCTTGAGTTTGGTGTCTCAAACTCTGGAATGATTTATTCAATTTATTAGATTTTTTTTTTAATGCCACGTTTATAATCGGGCGTGATCTTCCCAAGCGTTTTGTCCTGATATTTGACTTATTTCGAGGTTCAATCTGGCTTATTAACCATGGTTTATGGACTGAATGGCACTGCGGGGGATCCAGAATGTGTGTGTATGGGTAGGGTTTCCACCAAACCCTCATCAAGCCATCTTTGACCTTAGCTAACATCTCAAGCCAGCTTGTGCCTCTGAGAATGGGCACAGTTCTTGTGCTGGATGTGGGCAGGGGAGAGAGAGAGAAAGGGGTTGCCTTGTCTTGAAAGGGGTGGATTGAGACAAGATAACGGAATAACGGAGCTGGAAGGTACCTTGGAGGTCATCTAATCCAACCCCCTGCTTAAGCAGGAAACCATGTCAGACTAATGGCTGTCCCATCTCTTCTTAAAAACCTTGGAGCACCCATGACTTCTAGCGGCAAGCCGTCCCACTGATTAAACACCCCCCCCCCAAAAAAAACCTTAAAGGACCTTGGAAGGTCATCTAGTCCAACCCCCTGCTCGAGCAGGAGATTCTATACCCCATTTCAGACAAACGGTTGTCTACTTCAGACCCTCCAGCCTTGGGAGCAACTTCTGGAGGGAAGCTGTCCGACAGATGCCCTCAAGGGTTCCCACTTCCCATTCATGCCCTGCCCCTGACTCACACAGCGGCTCCACGAGACTCGCGTGGCCTCAGTTTCCCTCCCGTGGAAGACAAACAAAAGTGAGTCACCCCCTGAAGCGCATTCCTTCCCGGATACGATGGTGAACTTTGGGGCTGGGTGTCAGGCGCTTGAAATGCCACCTTTAATCTATGCGGGTGAGAATTGGAGATTTTTTTTCTCTCCTTCCTTTGCTTCTACTCCTAAGCTGCTTATTATTAACTATCCTCCAGCAAGCTGGCAGGGGCAAAAAAGACTGACACCCTTTTGGGGTGGTGCCCTCCTTTGCCACCCCCCCTTGGGCAGAAAAGAGCAAAAATAAACACATCCTCCTTCATTCTTACCTTTAATGAATTAAAAACCCCTGCAGAAAAATGACCGAGAGAATTCCTTTTATTTTTTTTAACCTTGGTGTGTCATTGAAACTTTTAAACCAGGAGATTAAAAAACAATTGCAAACTTAATATAAAGAAAGCAGAGGAGAGAGGGGGGGTGAAAACCCCCAAATCAAAACCCTTGTATGTTGATTTTTAAAAAAATAAACAATAAATTACAATAAAGGGAAAAGGAAGTTGAAGGGGAGTGAAAGAAAACAGATAGGTAGAAATGGCTTCCCATCGCCTCGCAGCAGTTATAAGTGGGAAAAGGTAGTTTAATCTTCCTTTTTAAAGTTTATATTCCTCTCCTTCCCATCCTCTCTGCTATCTAATTGCCCAATAGTAATAATTATGTAAAATGTCCATAAGAAGCTGTAGGGAATTCCAAAGGAAAATAGCATTTATTCCTAGAATCTGGAGTTGCACCCAAAGGAATTGGAGGCAAAAATAAAACAAAATAAAATTAGGATCCAAAGCTATTCTCTGCTCCTTCCAATTCATCTTGAATCATAAAATTAATAAATGAATTAAAATAATACATGCATTAATAAAATCTGCTGCTTTAAGAGGGAACCGAAAGATCTACTTAGAATTCTAGATCTAAGAGCTAGCTGTCACCTGAAATGGAGCCTCTGTGTATAGGAGCAGTGTATCCTTGCAGGTTAAGAGCGCAAACAAAAGGCCGTTCTGCTCACGTTGCCCAATTAGAGATCAGTTGATGAGATCAGTTTGTTCTTTTGTTCTAGAACCGAAGAACAATGTAAATTTTGTGACACACATTGAACAGCTCTCTTACCCAACCTCAACCTGTTGGGGACGTGACCTTGCCAGTTTCTCCATCTAGAATATCCCACCCACCCCCCGCCAGGCCTAAAACCCAAGGCAGCCCAGGTAAATCGCCGCTCGCAGGATAAGACATTGAAAGGGTCATTGTCCTCCTTTTACCTGCTTACACAAGTGTGCGTGTGTGTGTGTTAAGACACACAAATCCCCCCCCCCTCCGATGTCAAGGTAGGGAAGTAGGGCAGTTTGAGTGCCAGGCCTTGCTGTGAAAACTCAAGCGCGGTCTTTTGTGTTTGTCTCTTGTTTGTGACACAACGGTCTGTGACGTCCGGCTGGACAATCGTATTTTGGAAGAAGGAGAAGGAGAAAGAAGGAGGGAGGAACAGAATGAGGAGCAGGAGGAAAAGGAGAAGAAGAGAAGAGAGGAAGGAAAAACAATGAGGAGGAGGAAGAGAAAGAAGAGATGGAGGAAGGATGAAGGGAGGAGGTGGAAGAGAAGAGGAAAGAAGGACACGGAGGAGGAGGAAGAGAGAAGAGGTGAAGGAAAAGGGGAGATGAGGAAGAAAAGGAAGAAGAGAAGAAAGGAGGAGGAGGAGGAGGAAGAATTAGAAGAGTAATGGGAAGGAGATGGAGGAGGTGGAAGAAGGAAGGAAGAAGGAGGAGGAGGAGGAGGAGGAAGAAGAAGAAGAAGAAGAAGAAGAAGAAGAAGAAGAAGAAGAAGAAATAATCAAACCTGTTATAGATAAATTCCACTCTGCCAATGGAAACTACTGTCAATCATCTCTCCTTTTTAGTCCTCTGGTCCAGAAATGTATCCATTTTTCTACCAATTCTTTGTGATAATCAGATGCACAGATTGTGTGTGTGTGTGTGTGTGTGTGTGTCCTTTCCTTTCTGGCGGTTGGAGAAGAGCCACCTTACCTTTAAAAAGAAAAAAAAAATTTGTGTGTGTGTGTGTCGGGTGGGGGGGAGGAAGGCATCTTGGCCCGGCCCCAATTTTTATTTTAAGCTTTTAATCTCCTGCTTTTCCCCCAGACGGGTCAGTCGGCCAAGATGCTCCCGGGCACTTTCCCTTCTCCACCGGCCTCGCCCAGGTGGCGATAAAAGGCCAAACTCTCTTTTAATTGCTCAGCAAAATCGAGTCCTCCCTGCTTGAACCCGGTTATCCGTCCCAGTGACTCAGCCGGAGAAGCCGCTGGAGGGGGGACGGGGTTCAGAATCACCCCTTTAATTCTCTTTCCCTCCTTCTTGGTCCCTTCCTCCCTCCCTCTCTCTCCGCAGCCCCCTGGCTTCCTTCTCTCCCCCCCCCCCCCCGCCCGCTCTGCTGAGTTGATGGCCGGCCCCACGTTGAGTTGGGTTGGCTTGCAACGAGACAAAGTTGGCCGTCCTTTCTTGCAAACAAGCATTGAGTTGCGTATTGTGGGAAGCCTTCAAAGAAGAGGCCGGACTGCCACCTGTCAAAAATGGTGTAGGTAGGGTCTTGCTTGGGCAGGGCGGGGTTGGACTAGATGAAATACAAAGTCCCTTCCGACTCTGTTGATCTATCATCTCCGTCTCTGTGCTCCTTCCTTCACTCCTTGGGTCGCGGGGGGGGGGGGGGGAAGGCACCTGTGCCCAGTTTGGGTGAGCCCAGTCAGCTGTTCCAAGCCACTGGTTCCTGCTGGGCGTACAGGTCCTGGAGGAGGAGGAGGAGGAGGAGGAGGGCAGCCGCGTTGCTGTGGACAGGATGAGCTCACTTCTCAGGAACGTAGCAATTACGGCATCTTCAAGAAGAGGAGGAGGAGGAGGAGGCGTCCCAGTGACACACCTTGATGCGCAGGGATGGACAGGTGGCGGCAGGACCGGCTGGGCAGCTTCGGAGGGCAGGTGAGAAGCTGGTGTTGCACGGAAGGCCCAAAGCCCGGAGAAGCCAAGGAGCTCTGGGCCCGGTGCAGGAGATTCTCCCTGCCGGCGTCGGCCCTGGGGCACCCACCTGGACCCCCCCTCGCCGGTCCTGCCAGAGAGGAGAAGAACAAATGGTGGTGTATCCAGGTGAGTCTTGAACACAGCGTCCACGGAGAGAGAGAGAGAGAGAGAGAGAGAGCGAGTGTGTGTGTGTGTTTGGAAGGGAGGCACGGACATCTCTTGTGTTATTGTGCTTTTCACTGGTGTCCGAATGGGCTTGCTCTTCCCTTCTTTTCCCAGAGGGGTGTTTGATCCTAAGCAGAGCCTCCTCCGGCGGTGCAGTCTATCCCCAAAATCCAGAGTTTCTCGCGCTGCGTCTTTTGTTTTCTAAACCCTTTCTGGCTGTTTTCCCAAAACGTTTCTCCCGGCATGTTGATTTGAAGCTCAGTGAGAAAAACATTCCCGCTCGCTTCACTTTTGCTGCCAAACTATTGTCGCATATCCCCCCCCGCCACCCGTCTGGTTGGAGAAACGACACCCCAGGCAGGTTGGACAGCCTAGTGGATGAAAAGACTTTGCCGTAAATAACACGGCGAGTTTTCCAAACTTTTCCCGGCTCTTGTTGAACAACAGCCCCGAAAGGAAAACAAACTGCACAACGGCCTTTCGGTTGTTATTGTGCTACGATGGTCACAACCCTTGTTTTCCTAGAGAGAGAGAGAACAAACACTGGTTGTTATTCACATCCGCTACGGTGTGAGAGTAGCTGATTTAAAGCGTTCGTAGCGGGCTAATTTGCCTGACATTTATTCCATTCCTCCTCGGTGAAATAAATTTGCATCTTGGCAGCGCTGCCCCACCATTTTTCAAACCTCCAAGAAAAAGGCGGGCGGGAAACACCGGAAGAGTTTAGACAACCATTTGTGTGAAATAATACAGGGATTCCTGCTTGACTAGGGGGTTGGACTAGAAGGCCTCCAAGGTCCCTTTCGACTGTTATTCTTATGTTTATGCTTATTTGGCTAAAACCCCAACAATTGTAAGGAAAAATATTGTCAGGCACCCCCTTCATTGTGCGTCTGCTTTGCTCACAAGGCTCCATTAATAAGGAGGATGTGTAGATAGATGGGATAGATAGACAGACAGACAAATCAATGGGATAGAGAGATGGATGGATGGATGGATAGAGGGATAGATAGATAGATAGATGATAGATAGATAGATAGATAGATAGATAGATAGATAGATAGATAGGTAGATAGATAGATAATAGAGGGTGTGTGTGTGTGTATATATATATAGAGAGAGAGAGGGGGGGGAGGATATATATATATATATATATATAGAGAGAGAGAGGGACAGGACAGATTAGATGGATGGATGGATAGATGGGATAGATAGATGGGTGATAGTTGGTAGATAGATAGGTAGAGAGGTAGATAGATAATAGAGGGGGTATATATATATAGAGAGAGAGACAGAGACAGAGAGAGAGAGAGAGGATAGATAGATTAGATGGATGGATAGAAAGAAATATTTTAAAAAATTATAGCCCAGTTTATTACAACCAACAGTTCAGATGCCTCAACGGAGGACACAAAATCTTTGGAGAAAGCCAATTTCGATCCTTTTGGAAAGAAAATCCAGACGTGTTTGACAGGCAAAGCCTCTGGGGCAACGGGAAGGGACGGCCTCTCAATGGCGTCCGATATATAGATCTCTTTTTTTAAAAAACACCCAACAACTGTTCAGACGGCCGTCGTTCCGTTCGACATGCGCCGAGCTTGTTTGCCAGCAACAACGAAAACTACCGCGCTTTGTGCACGCCGAACGACAGAATCCGGTCGGACCTGTTGGGCAGCTTTGTTTCTCCCCCGGTTGCAAAGTGCAACACTTTGATCAACGGAGCTCACCCGATCCCAAATAGGTCAACGCGTTGGTGCCCTCCGGCCTGCCCGGCGGTGGGAAGAATGAAAAGCCAGGAGGAGGAGAACCAACCAACGGCAGCCATTTGGGGAGCCAGGCACTAGATTTGCACGTTGGTGTCGTTCAGTGGCTTCCCACATAGCCCTCGACTTACGACGGCAATGGAGGCCTCAGTCCAGTTGCTTCATGAGATGGTTGTGAGGCGAATTTGGCTCCCTCTTGTCCCCTCTCTCGCCACTGTTGTTAAACGAATCGCCGCAGCTGTTAAATTCGTAACAGGGTTGTTAAGTGAACCACGCTTCTCCGGGACTCTGCAACCATGGCAAATATGAGTCCCTTGCCAAGCGTCCGAATTTTGACCACCGTCGTAAGGGTGAAACACAATCGTAAGGGCGAAATGCTGCCAAACAGTCGCTCTGCATTTATGACGGTGGAAGCATCCCAGGGATCACATAATCCCCTTTTTCCAACCCTCTTAACCTGTTTCTGACAAGCAACATCGGCGGGGAAGCTGGATTCACTTAACGTCTGCATGATTCACTCAACAACGGTGGCAAATAAAAAATAAAGGTGGTGAAATCCGTCTCAAATGACTTGGTGAACAACTGCTTTGCTTAAGTGAAGGAAATTCCGGTCCGTAAGTCGAGGACTCCTTCCCTGGCTTTGATTGAACCCTGTTTAAGAGAAGCTGGGTTTAGACAGCCACGATTGGCTTCGCATGTCACCCCAAACTGGGTTTGATGATGGCTCGGTGGCTGCGTGGATGTGTCTTCCCGCTGACTGAGCCACAATCCTAGGTTTACACGCCGTAGTAGAGAACTCAGCCAAACCATTAAGGGGTGTGTTTTGGTGTTGTTTGTGGGACCGAATGTTTGGAAAACTTGATTTTAAGGCTGGCAACAGACCAGAGGGTGGAGTTGGGCTGGGGGGTGTGGGGGGAGTTTCCCCCCCCCCACCAGGAGACAGAGCAGAAACCAGGATCTGTTTTCAACAACGGGGAGATTTTTGGCAGAGGAATCCCTGTAATTTGGCTGGCAAATGTTCACACGCCCAGAGGACGGATTTAACAGGTGCTGGAAAAACAAGCCAAGGAAAATACAAGGGACGTCCCCCCTTTTCCTTGCCACCCTGAGGACTAGCGCCTTCGTTGGCCTTTTCAACTTGGTCTGCATTGGAGGTGATTTTTACGCGAATCTTGTTGTCCAGCTCAAGTGAGAACCAAGAACATTTTTGGCGTCGTCCTTCTGAACGTCAAGTTTTGCAACTTTGGTTGTTTTTAAGATGGTGGACTACAACTCCCAGAATCCCCCAGCCTGCCTTCATGGACTGCAATTCCCAGAGCTCACCAAGTCGGCGAGGAATTCTGGGAGTTGAAGTCCACCCACTTGAAAGCTGCTAAGACTGCTCCAGAGGGAGGTTAGAGAGAGAATTGCTCCCCTGGCATGGCCAAATGCACTTTGTCCATGCTCAGATACTTTTTCCGTTTTTATATGTATATAATTCTTCCATATGGAAATGGTTTTTTTTTTAATCTCCCTGCATGGCTTAAACCAGAGTTTCTCCCTCTTGCCAGCTTTAAAACAGGTGGACTTCGACTCCCAGAATCCCCCAGCCTACCCCCTTCATGGACTGCAACTCCCAGAGTTCCCCAGACAGCAGGGAATTCTGGGAGTTGCAGTCCACCTCTTTCAAAAACAGCCAAGATTGGAAAACACACTGGCTTCAAGGGAGCTTTTTAAATAAAATTTAATTTCCGTTTATTCTGCCGCCCAATTCAGCTGAATGGACTTTTCTTTACAGCCGTAGGACCCGCCGTTAATAACAGTCGCCGAGAATTGGGCGGCGAAGGTTTTTAAGGAATTATTATTATTCCTGCGAAAGCTGCTGGTGCTTTATGGTTATTGTTGTTTTCTAGACAGGACAGGAAATGGCGCTGAGGCTGCCATTTCATGGAAAAAGCAATAAAATTTGAAAACACCTGCAGTTCTGGGCAGCTGAACACCACACCTATCCGCCCTCAATACCCCCCTGGGGGGAATCCTCCTTAGGGGTTTCCTTTGTTGGTTGTGGTGCTTTTTTTGACACAGTTTTGACACGATGGCAGGCAGGCAGGCAGGAAGGAGGTTTTTTTAAAGGGCTTTTAATTACGGTTTTCCATTTTTGGCACTGCTGTTTTTATGTTTTGTTTTATTTTTTTCCCCCTCTATCCTCTTATCTCCCGGTCTCCCACATCTGAGTGTTTTCGTAGCTTAAATGTATGGGTTCCCTGCCTTGCCTTGCCTTATTTTGAAGCAATCAAGTGGATAATGTATTTATTTATTTATCATATTTATTATCAAAACTAATAAATGCAGACAAATCCAATGCAAACTTGCTTCTAGTGCAAGTTAAGGCCCCTTTGGTAGAGGCTGGAGCAGGTGGATGGCGCATGGTAGGGCAAGCCTCCCTCCAGCTCCCATAAGGCACAGCCCCAGCTGGCTGTGGACCATGGGCACTGTAGTCCAGCAGCTGAGTTGGGGGGAACCGCATATCAGCCTCTCTTTTTTCTTTTTTTTCCACCCCACCCCCCATCCTCTCGCCTATTTTCCTCTCTGCCCCACTCCCCAATTCCTTAGTTCATAAAGTTACTTTTACAAAATTCAAATACAGAACCCTAGAGGACAAGGCGCATGCGCGGGAGCAGAGAGTCTAGCGGGCGGAGCTTGAAGAGGCTCTTTCCTTCCCCCACCCTCCTCTCCAGGAGTCCGGCCAACCACCTTCCAGCAGGGGCGTGGCCAGCCGCCGCCAGCGTGCTCCCCCCCAAAAGAGGCGTGGCTTTGGAGTGGCTCGGAACGCTGGTGGCGTCAGAAGGGGGCGTGGCCGATATATAAGCGGCGGGCGTGGTGGGTCCCCCGCCTCATTTGCGCCGGAGCTTCGCGGCGGAGATGACCGCTTCGCGCGCCCTTTGCACGTTGGTGCAGCTCCAGCCGGCGGACGAGCAGCCGGTAAGCGAGCAGATGCGGAGCCGGGGGGGCGGGGAGGCTCGGGGGCCGGGGGAGAAAGCAGGTTGATTTTAACCGTTGCCATTTTTTTACATTGCTACCTTTTCTGCCGGGAGAAACCTTTGCTTTGGGTTGGAAAAGCGCAGAAATTGCCGTCTTCGGCATGGGAAAAAAAGTTCTGGGCAGCGACGTGCATCAGATAACGAGGTAGAAACACGCAAAGCAAAGGACCTTTTGCAA